ACGGGAGCTCCCATGCATGGCACTGGCCAAGCCCTCTGGCAGAGGAGGAGAGACACAGGGTCTCAGGTGGAAAGCTGGCAGTGCGTATGGGAATTATCCACCGTGGCTGAGGTGAACTCCGGGGTGGGCTGAGGGGCTTTGGATGGGTGGGAGCATTGGCAGTAGCTGCTATGGTACTATTATCCCTGTTCTACAGATAGAGAAGCTGTATGTCCTACCCGGGTCACACAGCTAGTAGTGCAAGTAGGATTCAAAACTAGGCTTCCCAGCATTGCAGGGCACACAAGGGTTACTCTAACAGGACCTAGGAAAGGCCAGAACTGCTCAAGGGGCTTTCTTGTTACCTGCACTGAAAAGAAATCAGTATAACCAACTTCCCCATAAATAGTCTTTCTTCCTGGGATGGGGAGGAGGGCTGGAGGGAAGGAAGTAAGGAAGCGGCAAAAAGAGGTAGCTGCTGAATGATATGACTTAGAGGCTCCCACCTGCTAACTCATGCCTGGAATCTCACCCTTAAGACATCCCCTCCTTAGCAGAAAGTTTTGATTTTTTTAAGGAAGCAACCCACTTGGTATAAATAACATTAAAGTTGTTATCAGTCACTCACACCTCAGTGTGAATGAGTGTTGGGGCTGTGAGGGGATGAGTTAGGTGGAGGTGTGAGGGAAGAGAGCTTGAAGCCTGAGGGGGAAACAGCACCTTCAAGGGGACTGGGAGAGCTCACAGGTGAGGGAAGAAGCGGAGATATGGGACACTGACGTCTGCGTTGACTTTCCCCACCTGCCTTTAGTCAGGGAACCGTGGTGGACCACAAGCAGCTTTCCAGAAAAGAGCCAGCAAATTTGAGTTACATTTTAGGTTTTTTGTTTGTTTGTTTGTTTTTTTGACAAAAATCCCAAGATACTTTGGAAATTATAATTGATCTGTATTTACAAAATTCCTTGGAGAATTAAAGCAGGATTTAAAAAATAATAGCTTTATTGATATATAATTTATATATCATATAATTCACTTGTTTAAAATTACCTTTCACTTTCAATGGTTGGTAGTATATACATAAAGTTATGCAACCATCACCACAATCATTTTTAGAACATTTTCATTATCCCCAAAAGAAATCCCATACCTATTAACAGTCACTCTCCATTTCTCCCCAACCCTTCCAGCCCCAGGCAACCAACAGTCTACTTTCTGTCTCTATGAATGTGCCTATTCTGGACATCCCATAGAAATGAAATCATACAATAAGATAAGGGTCCAACTTCATTATTTTGATATGGATATCCAGTTGTCCCAGAACCATTTTTTGAAAAGACTGTTCTTCCCCTTATTAAAGAGTTTTTACATCCTTGTCATAAATCAGTTAACCGTATACATTAGGGCTTATTTCTGGACTCTCGATTCTATTCTATTGATATTTATGTTTATATTTATGCCAATACTACACAATCTTGATTACTATAGCTTTGTTTTAAGTTTTGAAATCAGAACATATGAGTCCTCCAACTTTGTTCTTCTGGCTATTCTGTGTCCCTTACATTTTCATATGAATTTTAGGGATCAGCATGCCAATTTCTTCAAAGAAGCCAGGTGGAATTTTGATAGACTGCATTAAATCTGAAGATCAATTTGGGAAGTATTGCCATCTTGACAATATCCAGTCTTCTAATTCATGAACATAGGATATCTTTCCATTTACTTAGGTCTTTTGTAATTTCTTTCAACAATATTTTGTAGTTTTCACAATGTAAATTTTACATTTGCTTGGTTAAATTTATTACTAAATATTTTATTCTTTTTATGGTATTGTAAATGATATTTTCCTAATTTCATTTGCAGATTGTTCATTGCAAGTATAGAAATACATTTGATTTTTATACAGTGATTTGTATCTTTTAACCTTACTGAACTCATTAGACCTAATAGTTTTTTTTTTCCTTGTATATTTCTTAGGATTTTCTATATGTCATCTCTAAATAGAGATAGTTTTACATCTTCCTTTCTAGGATTCTTTTTAAACATTGAATTGAATTCACCTTATGTACATAGAGAAACTGAGACCTGAAAAGATTAAATAGGACTTCACAAAAATAATATGAGATCTTGAGGAAGCATAACATGAAAATCACTCTCCTTCCTCAGTTTCCTCTTTTCTAGAAAATCCTGCTTCCTCAGTTTTAACTGTGGAGCACTAAAGTCACTTTAACAATAATAGAACTATTTTAAATGCACTGTAAAAAAAAATGGAGCTTTTTCTGAGGATGTTTATGAAACCAGTAGAACTTTAACCATATTCTTTGGTGCTTTAAATGAATGTTAAGTTCAGTGGTTTTAATTGAAAATCATGCTTTATTAAAATGAGTGGGAAATTTATGGTCATAAATGTGGGTGTGTATTTGAGCAGAAAGCCATGTGACTGAAGCAATACTGCCACCTGTATGTAATATGCTCTCATTTCAAGTTCTAACTTTCAAAAAGTGAGTACATCTCTTTAATTTTGTTTTGTTTAGTAATGCACTTTTAAATTTCTAAAATAATGAATATTGAATTAACATTTTGACTAGGTCAATATGAGGGTATTTCGAAAAGTTTATGGAAAGATTCGTATTTCTTAATTGTTTTTTTCACAGACTCATATACTTGTATGGTTTGAGATTCTAAAGGTGCATAAGAGCATACAAGGAAGTTTCTCTCCCACCCCTGTACTTCTGTTTCTCCCCCCAGTAGTAACCAGCAAAAAAGTTAAAAACAGCTTATTGTGTATCTTTGTGGAGATAATGTACACATATAAACAAAAACATATGTAACAGTGGGAGGCAGAATAATGGCTTCCAAAGATGCTCACACCCTAATTGCTGAAACCTGTGAATATGTTACTTTGCATGGAAAAAGGGATTTTGCAGATGTGATTAAAGTTATGGACCTTGAAATGACCACGTTAGCCTGGATTGTCCAGGTGGGCCAAATCTAATCACATAAATCCTTAGAAGCAGAGACTCTTTCCCAGCTGTGGCCAAAGAGTGATGTTTGACGATGCAATAAGAGTCAGAGAGATGCATTGTGAGGAGGCTTGACCTGCTTTTGCTGGCTTTGAAAATGAAGGAAAGGGGTCCCAAGGCAAGGAATGCAGGTGACCTCTAGACCTGGAAAAGGCAAGAAAATGGATTCTCCCCTAGCGTCTCTAGAAAGGAACAAAGCCAACACCTTGATTTTAGCCAGTGAGACCAGTGTCAGACTTCTTCTGACTTACAGAACTGTAGGATAATCTGTCTTAAATTTGCAGTAATTTGTTAAGGCAGCAATAGAAAACCAATATAATAAGCTTTTCCCCAATTTTTACACAAAAGGTAGTTTAATATATACACTATTTAGTACCTGGCTCTTTTTTCATTAAATATATCTTAAAGATAATTGCATATCACTCTTTCAAAAGGGGATATATAACATTCCGTTGTATGGACACACCATTATCTACCCAGCCCCCTACCAATGTTCACTTAGGCTGTTTCCTGCCTTTTATTACAAACAGTACTGTAATGAATAACCTTATATATACATCATTTCTTATATCAGGAGGATGCATTACTAGAAGTGAAACTGCTGGGCCAAAGAGTATATGTATTTTTAGTTTTGCTAGCTATTGCCAAACTGCCCTCCACAGAGTTTATAAACTGGCACAGTCTCCATGCAAGGCGTATATGAGAGCACGTGAGTGCCTGCTCCCCTTGCCCTCACCACATAGTGAAAGCTTTCTTTAATGCTGACCCTGTACCCCTGTAGTTATGGACGGAAGTTCAACCAACTCTGGAGTCCTAGCTCTTCACTGCAAACATATCTGACCCTGCATAAAATTCAGAGATGCCTGTCGAATCATAAAATGTTTGAGATGAAAGGTACTTTACATCATCCCCTTCTTTTATAGAGTCTAGAATTTCACAGGAATTTTGGCTGAGAGCATATCTAAATAAAGAGCACTCTGGGAATCTAATGTAGAATTCAACAGTGCCCATATATCCGATTCCTTTATTCTCTCTTGAATCAATATCTTGTGCAGTTGCCACTGGGAACAATACAGCTCATTTTGCCTGGTTTCCTCAGGAAAGAGCTCTGCTTTTGAAAGACAACAATGGGGAAGAGTTTGCAGGTCCCCAGAGAGCCACAGGGATTTGCTCTGCTTGTTGTTGTCTCTGCAGTATCTTGGAAGATGGTATGAAATTGAGAAGATCCCCGTGAGCTTTGAGAAAGGAAACTGCATCCAAGCCGACTACTCGCTAATGGAAAATGGAAACATCAAAGTGATAAACAAGGAGATGAGGTGAGTGGCTGTGCACATCCGAGTGCAAGGCCTGCGGAATGCTGTCCCGGAGTGACTGGCTATCTGTGCAGTCCAGTTTGGGAAGGATGAACCCTGCTGGGTCTGGACTGCCTGCTCACAGCAGGAGCTGACTGGCAAGGACTAGAATTCACTCGTTTCCACTTGCTGAGCACTTGTAGTGTATACCAGACCCTGAGAGGCAATGGGGACTCAACAACAACCCAAAATGACAGGGTTCCTGCCCTTATTGCCAAATAGATTTTATGGTAGCAAAGGACATTGGGGTCCATCTTGTTTGACATCCAGACCAAGAGAGAAGCCCCATCTGTACTATCTGCTGACACAGGGCATCCAGCTTTGCTCGAATCCTTCCAGGAACTGGGACCTCCTCACCTTCCCTAACAGCTTATCCCATTTCCAGGCAGCTGTACGTGTTAGAAAACTCCTTTCCTTATTACACAAGAATCAAATACATATATATTCACACTCTAAGTTATGTAAACGGGATATCCTACAAAAGCGTATATTTCTATTACTGAGGTCTTCTAACATTGATATTTGATCTCAAAATTTACATTTTGGAAAGCAAACAAACATAAAATCCCAGGAAGAACTCCTTCCTACCCATCCTCCATCAACAAAGATAACAGCAACAACAATTAATATTTATGAAGCATTTCCTATGTGCAAGACACTATTCTATATATGTGTGTGTACACTTGAATGTACATATATGTACGTACATACATGTAAACGAATATGTACTCTTTTAATCCCCACAACAACCCTGAGTTAGGTACTATTATTAACCCCATTTTTATGGATGAGGAAACTGAGGTACAGAGAGGTAAAGTAACTTGCCCAAGGGTCACACAGCTTATAAGTAATGAAGCTGAGATTCAAATCCAGAAAGAAGTGAAATGGGAAAGAGAACAGAAGAAAAATGAAAGAAAGGAGACAAACGAAAGAAAGGCTGGGAATGAAGGTTGTTCTTCCCGATCCCCACAGGATTTGAGAACTGTGTTCAATTACAAGAAAACAGCTACAGCCCAGCCTGGAAGATCCTAGGCTTTCTGTGGCCGTCCCATCATTCACTAACCTTCCCGTGAGCCAAAACCCAGTGGATTGACTCCTTGGCCCTGCATAAACCAGAGAAACAGAGAGGATCTTGAGGGCCTCTAAAGAAAAATCCAGTTTATTTCAGAGCCCTGGGGAAGAGCTGCAGGAATTAAGATACAGATGCCCAGAAGATCTCATAGGAATTTTATGGGCCCCCAAATTGCAAGGACCTCATTTCAAATATTTTGTCCCATTCTAAGACCAAATGTCATAGAATGACACAGATCTCAAAACCCATGAGATTCCTGCATCCCTCCTTTGAAGTTGGCCAGGAGTCCTCTTTAAATGTATCTTTAGTATTAGATTGATCTGCGTCTAGGGTTACACCTGTTTAAGACACAAGAGCACATGCAAAGAAGTTTGTTAGTCCAGGAAAATGGTATAGTTTCTCCTTTCAGGAGGATTGCAGAATGGGCAGAAGGCACAGCAGGGAGTCTGAGCAGGAGAATAATCTTAGTCCACGTCAGAGAATCTGGGGACCAAATAGCTGGCACAGGATTGGGAGCTGAAGGGTTCGGTTTTGGACTTAGGCTACCTGGTTTCAAATCCTTGTTCTGCCACTTATTATGTGATCTTAGGTTAGTTATGATAATTCTCTAGGCCTCAGTTTCCTCATCTGTAAAATGGCAATAATAATAGAACCTACCTCCACAGGGCTGTTAGAGCATTAAGTGAGGTTTGGCATGTAGTAATCATTTAATAAATATTATTTGTTATTGTTAATCTGCTGCTACCCTTGAAAATACAAATGCATTTTCCCCATGAACACATTGTAAATTTATGATTAGAGACTGGTGTTTTGAAAACTGTTCTGGAGTAAAACATAAATGATGGTGAGAAGAGGAAGAGTCTGTTGGGAAGAGACTGGTTTGTTGCTGTTACTACACACAGGAGAAACCATACAATCTTCCTGAACTAACAAACCTGTCGTCTTCCCCAGCTGTCTGAGTTCCAGGTGAGAGAGCAGGGCACAGCCTCCAGCCTACATGGAGATAAACAGACGATGTAGTTGGGAACATCAGAGTTCATCTCCCAACTTCTCTTACTTGTTGCTTATTGGCTGGTTTCCAGGACGTTCGTCACCACTAACCATAGCAATAACCTGCTGGCTTTCTAACACATACTACGGTTCTAACTTTAGTTTGCCTGCCCACCTTGAGGACTGATGGACAGGCAGCTCCTCTGTCAGCTTCCTAGGAAGAGCTCCCTGATGCCTGAGCACCCTCCCTTCAGTGTCTCCATCCCCAGGCCTTTCCCCTCTCCCAAGGTTCATGAGGTCATTGGCAGTTATCCAGAAATGGGGCCAGGTCTCCTCGAGAGGGTAAAAGCATTTCATACAATCTAACATCATCACTTTTAAGATGCACCACTATGTCATACACCACTAAGAAAGAAATGATACTGCCAATTGCAAGTTGTCAGGTGGCATTAAATTTAAGATGCACATTTCTTCACATTTAATGTCTCTGAGATCTGGGCATTCCTGAAAATCACTGAGATAAGTTAAATGTTTCCTCACTGCCTGCTTTTACCTGGCATGTGTCAAAATCTCCTGCACTCACTTGCTGAACTGGAAGGGGTCTCAGAGCTCAGGCCTCTTGATGGGACAGATGATGTCACATGATGTCACTGAGGCCCAAAGAAGGGAAAAGCTTGCAGATCTCCAGACTTCCTGCTTTGCATTATTTTCAGCAATCAAGTTGGTCCTTATTTGTTCCTTTGGCCTTTTCTTATTTTTAAAGAAGTGAATCTTCTTTGTGTCTTGGGTTGTTTTGTTCATTTCCCCTTCTCATTTAGTCCTTCTCTCTCTGGAGCCTAAAAGCAAGAAATGGCCTTTCAGACCATTGCAGATAGTCCAGAAAACAGTGCTGAAGTGCGAGGGCCTAAAATATTATCCAGTCCTAGAGCATTTCATTTGTTGCTTCTTATCACCCCACAGCTGTCTTCCTCTGCTTGGTCTCAGAGACAGTCACAAAGGAAAGGGCAGGGGATGGAACTAGGGTCTAGCCTGCCTTTGAGAGCCTCTCTCACCAGAAATCATAGTCCTGAGTGTCACAAATCTTGCCTTTCATTGATTTTTGGCTTACAATGAATTGTTTCTTTTCTTTCTTTCCTTTTTTTTTACTAATTGCAGAGCTGATGGAACCGTGAATCAAATTGAAGGTGAAGCCACCCAGGATAACCTCACAGAGCCTGCCAAGTTGGCAGTTAAGTTTTTCTGGTGTAAGTATCCACTTCTCTCAGAAGGTTTCAGGGACAGGAGCCTTGGACTGGAGCACTCCTGTCACATCTGAGTGTCATCTATAATGACCCAATATGGAATTACTTGCTGAGTGCCTACTACATGCCATGCACTGGAGATGCAATGATGAGCAGGACAGAGCTGGCTCTTTTACTTATGGAGCATACATCCCCGTGGATACTGATGAGCAACCAGGAGATTTACTGTGAAACTACAGTCAGTGTTTCAATAGGTGAAGCACAAATAGGAGAACATAGGGCATGAGCAGTAGGAGACCCAATGCAGACTTGTTTCTCAGAGAAAACTGAGGCCCCCCAAATTAGTAGCATTTATCAGAACTAGCACGTGCAAACTCTTGGAGGCAAAAGATGACAAGACTGAAGACAAGTTTGAGTCTTGGCTCTGCCACTTTCCAGTCGCATTGTTGAGGACCCTGAGAGATTTAATCACAGGCCTTTGCCCTCTGAGTTCTGAGCTTTCTGAGGGATGGACACAGGCAACAGAGACAGCACTAAATGTTAGTTTTATTGCTGAAGTGGATGCACTAGGGAATTCAGTACAGAACCGTGAGGCTTCCTAATGCTGAAAGTGCTTGGGAGCCCCTCTTTGCACCCACAGGGCAGACACCGAACTCACCAGCTGCAAGAGAAATCACTACCCTTCCCCATCCTGCCGCCTCTCCACCCCACACCCGTCAGAGCCCTAGAGCGGGGCAGAGAGGATGTTCTTATTTTATAAGCCAAGAAAGGAATGCTGGGAGAAGAAAACAGTTTTTCCCACTCATGACTATGGGCAACTAAGTTCACATACACAAAGCAGGGATAGCTGCCCAGCATGGTGAAGGTAAACTAGATAACACACGCTCTGTAAACTGTAAAGGGCTTTTACACATTAGTTTCTCTTATTTCTACAAAGGAAGTTGAAGTGCACAAGGACTGACTGTAGGCAGTGACTGAACTAATTAGAGGTAGAGGTAGAGTTGGGACTTAAACCTTAACCTAGGTTTCCAAACTCTCAACTGAGTAGTTTTCTCATAAACAGGTCAGGAATGGGGGCGGAAGTGAAGGTTAAATATTATGTGCATGATCTTCATAACAAAGCCTGGGACAGGAGCTAAAACAGAGGTGGGAGCTGTTGGCTGAGGAGGCTGAGAAGGGAGAGATTTATACTGGTTGGAAGAATTAGATGTTTGCATTGGGCCTATAGGATGTATGAGAGATGGTGGAAAAGGATGTTCCAAGCAGAGGGGATGACATAGGAGGTGGTCTGGGGAAGAAGCCTAGAACGTGCGAGGGCACACAGAGTGTGGGATAAGGTTAGGGAGAGCCTTGAAAGCCATGTTAGAGAGTTTGAAGTTTCTTCCATAAGCAATGGGAGACTGTCCAAGTTTCCTAATAGAGAGAAATACGGAAGTTTTCTGTACTAAGAGGAAATATCTGGGTAAATTTATTCTTGAGAGCTAGACCCTCTGAGAGGAAAACAGAATGTTCATGCCTGGGTGTGTGCAGGTGGGACATGATGCTGCTGCTAAGAGAGATGGGAGACATATTTTTCCAAAATCACTCAGGGATGAAGAGTTCTCAGTCCAACTGGGAATACAGCACACAGCTGAAATTCACAGATAGCAGACTATGAAGACTATAACTCTCTCTTTCTGGGTGAGTGAGAAAGGCAGGCAGGGATCAACAGTGCTGGAAAGGAAAGTCAGAAACAGCACACAGTCCAGGCTCCCATCCAGACTTCTTCCAAGTGTTCTTCTGTTTTCGTATTTATAAACAAACCCAGAGGCAGGAAGGATCTTGGTGGGTGGTTATCTCGGCCAGCACTCTTGTGTTGTCCTGATAACCAGCTAGGTCCTTGACACCCAGCCAAGCTCTACCACTCAGACACTGCTTTCTTTGTCCAACAGCTTCTCAGGTCATTCACAAGCTCTGAATTCTGGTTTTGACTTGGCAAACAGAAGTTATTTTTGAGTGGAGGAGATGGGATGCTTGACTGCATATGTGTCCAAGTCTTGTGCTTATGGGGTCAGCACACAGGTTTTTCCTATTTGGGTCCATCTTCCATTTAACTTGAACAAGCTGGGCTATGAGTTTTCCTTGGCTTGGACCTGGGCCGTGGAGATCAAGTTTACAGAGGAAGTTTCTAGATCCAGATGGAGAGAGTAAATCCTCCATCTCTCCTCTCAAGGACCCCTTTATTCTTGGACTTTCGATATTTTACAGATGTCGATCAATGTATCTTTACAGGCACTTTGTGAAAAAAAGCTTATAACCTGTTACCAACTGGCTTACCATATTCTTAAGAATGGAAGGATTTTCAAAGAACATACAGAAAGGACACACACACACACACACACACACACACACACATATATACACACACAAATTAGCTTCTGCCTCCTCCCTTAGGCAGGTTTTAGAGGAAATTGGATGGTACAGACGTGGAAAGTTAGAGGGCCCCTGACCTTATATTCTTGACTCCAGTTAGCCTCCGTGTACATTGGTGTTAAGTACAACCTGTCAGTCCAGGAGGTCCAGCCAAACTCCTCAGTTATCCCAGGAGACCACCTGCTACCAGGGAGGAGGACCATAACAATGGTTCTTAACTCTGGTCTCACATTGACATCACTGGGGAGTTTTTAAAAGTACAAACCACCTCCAGATCATGATCTCAGGAAGGGCGGGGGAAAGTGGGCTTGGCTTCCTTCTAAGCCCCCCCCATGACCTCCATGTGAAACCAGAGTTAAGAACCACTGATTTAGAAGAAATAGGATTCCAGAGTCTGGCCTCCATAGTCCTAGAGAAGAAGTTTCCCTCACCTTGGTCCCTCCTAATGCTGCCTTTCTTTGGTTATCAGTGATGCCGTCAGCCCCGTACTGGGTCCTGGCCACCGACTATGATAACTATGCCCTTGTGTACTCCTGTACTACGATCGTCTGGCTTTTTCACTTGGATTATGTTTGGATCTTGGGAAGAAACCCTTATCTCCCTCCAGAAACAGTGACCTATCTAAAAGATATCCTGACTTCCAATAACATCGATGTGGAGAAAATGACGGTCACAGATCAGGTGAACTGCCCCAAGTCCCGTTAACAAGGCTCTAAAGGGAGGCTGCATCCAGTCCATGTCACTTTGCTTTGCTTTCCCCCCACCCCCACCCCACCCCACCCCATCCCACTCTTCATAAAGACAAACGAACCTGCCATGACAAACCGTTGCAAATACCAGAAGGGAAGTTTGACGGCAGAAGCCAATGGAGGGAACTCAAGGAAAGTTGGCCCAAACATGCCCCACCCCGCTACCTTGCCAGCCTAAAAATAAACTTGTTTCTGACCTGCTCACAGTAAATTATGAATTGGATTAATTATTGTGGGGCTTTAATTATAAACTTATGCTTAGAAATCCTTAAGCAGTTATGTTGGGAAAAAAACAAGCACTGAACTGTCCTAGTTTAAAGATAACATTCCTGTTTCCAGAAGGGGAAGGCTGATGGCAAAGGCATATTCTGGGCGGCTGGAATTCAGGTGCCCCCGTTCTGCAGTAGACACTTCTTTGGGGGGAATTATCCTGGGGGTTTTGAGTTTCTGTTGGGAAGTGTCCTTGAAGATTTTACTTTCTCATCAGGAGGTTTTCAGAGTCAGGCTGAAGAACAAGACCATCTCGGAGTCTGTGCAAGTAAGAAGAGAATCTATGGGGGAGAAGACATGGGGATTGTTTTGTAGTTAAGAAAATATATATTTTTTGGTCTTTCATTCAACTAATATTTAATGAGGCCCAACTGCATTCCAGGCATTGAAAAATACAGAATCCCTGTCCTCCCGCAGCAGCTCATAGTCTGGTGAGGGAGATCAACAAAGATGAAATTATAATCCAAGGTGGAATGCAAAGGTAGAGGCATGTGGAGGGGGTGCTGTGGGAAGAAGAGAAGGAAAGTGGGAAGTCACAGCAAAACAGAGACAAGAGTATGTCATAAATCCTCACATACCCATCATCAGCTCCAACAGTCATCGACATTTCACCAATTTTGCTTCAGCTATCCCCCAGCACCCCCAATTTTTTCCCTAGAGTGTTCTGAAGCAAATCTCAGGTATCACATCCTATTACTTTGCCCATAGCAACCTAAGTATAAATATCTCACAAATACAAATTCTTTTTGAACAACAACAAAATTGAAAGGTTATATTTTATCTCCTGAAGGTGCTCAGAGAATGTAATCTCTATAAAATTTAAAGAGTATTTTGCATATAAAATCAAGGACAAAAAGTGAACGGAGAAAATGAAAGCAATTAATGTGTTAGAGTGGTGGAATTGTGGAATTTTTTTTCCGTTTTGATTTTTGCTACTTCTGTTTGTAGTGAAGGCCCTACAACTTTAGACTCTAAAACCTCCTCCTAGTTCAACCTGACACTGGTAAGTCTAGTGCCAAACCCCACATAAATAGGCCTCTTCTTCCAACAACTAGCTCAGATATCGAGACCTTTCTGGACTATTCTCCTATCCCACCACATTCATAAAAAATCTGAGATAATGGCATAATTTGTGAATATAGGATGTGTTGTAGTTTAAAACTTCTCTATTAAAGCAATCTTTATTTACTACCAACAAGTTCCTCTATACCACTGCTAGGAAACATGAAGGGAGATATCAGGTAATTTAGAAAGTTTTTATTTTCATAGTAGTCTAACCATTGTTTTTATTTTATAATAGGTTGCCAAAAAAAGCAAGCATTTTCACTTTGATAATTATTAGAAACTATTAAAATTTTTAATATTTCTTAAATATGGTCAACTTTTATGCTATAATCATTTTGACTAAATATGACATTATAATAGACTAGAGAGTTACATAATGTTTTCCAGCAGAATAAGGTGATCCAAACTATTTGGAAAGGCTAAGGAGCAGTGTGGTGGGAAACATGGGAATGGGACCCACTAGTTAGCCCCTTATTCCAGCAGATCTCTCTAAGGACTCCTCCAGGTCAAACATTTATTTATTTATTTATTTATTTTTGTCCTTTTTGAGACCGGCCGCACCGCACTCAGCCAGTGAGCGCACTGGCCATCCCTATATAGGATCCGAACTCGCAGCGGGAGCGCCGCTGTGCTCCCAGCGCCGCACTCTCCCGAGTGCGCCACGGGCTTGGCCCCAGGTCAAACATTTATAGTGTTATGGCTTTGTACATGAATAATAAAGCAAAATTTTGCTGAGAAGGAAGGAGTACCTGGACCTTTTTAAAGAATAATATACCACAAGCTTATTTTTAAGACCAGCCCTTTACATTTTTTGTATTTCTTCTAAACCCTATCAATGTATAAATTATTTTGATATATATATATTTCCATGGAGATACATATATTTTACTCATGTTACATGTTATGTTTTATAAATGCATTAGAAATATTACATCATATTATCTTGAGTTTTCCTAGTCTGCTGATTAAAATATAAATATACCAACCTTATGTCAATTCTTCAGCTCTTCAGTACACCCAGGGACCCAGGGGGAGCAATAGCTCATTGAATTATAAAATGACTCTCTCAGTGAACAAGGGGACTTGAGACAAGAGCTATCAGGGGCTGGAGCTCAATACATGTGGTCAAACACAAACTTCATCCCAAATCTCCTAACTGAAGGGTGCTGCATCCCTAATGATGCCTCTGACTACCTGTTGAGGGAAAGGTGCTCAGCTTCTGCTCAGAAACTGACTATGCCCCCGATTGATATGCCACCTCCCAGCCTGGCATCTCAGTCCTCGCAACCTAGCTTTCCTGCCTCGGCTCCTTTCCAGGTGTCCAGTCCACTTTTCTCAACCAAGGTATGTCACAATCACATGGGGAAAATATATCAGTTCCTTGGGAAGACATCCCAGAATGGGGAGAGAGTGAGCAAAAGAGGGCAAAAGATTACAAAAAATTCCCCCAAGTGATTCAGATTTGCTCCAGTGCCTCCACTGAGAATCACTGCTTTTTCAAAGACAATTGACTAATTGCAGCTCCCTTTGCCTACCATCTCTACCTTTACTGCACATCATTCCTCTTATCAAAATATGCTGCTGTCAGAATCCAACCTGCCAAGTGTACATCAGTACTTTTGCAGAGCAATTTGGCAATATCTAATAAAGTTGAGAATTCTCTTCTCCGGTAAATATCTTAGAAACACTTCTGTATATGAACATAAGGAGACACATACAAAAATGTTCATTGTGGCACTGTTTGAAAGACTGAAAAATTGGAAACAACTTAAATGTCCATCAACAGAAGAACTGATTTAAAAATTGTGGTACACATACACACCCTCATATACACACACAATGGAATACCATGCAACAGTGAAAACTAACTAGCGCTACTCGTATCAACATATATAATCTACAAAATATGTTGATTAAAAAACTATACAGAGGGATAAGTATGACACTACATATAAAATGACATTATTTCAGAATACATACATATGTAATAAAAATGCATGAAATTCACAAAATCATAAATACCAACTTCAAGGTCCTGGTTACCTCCAGACAGTGGAAGGAGAGAGTTGCAAGTGAGTAGGGGAACACAGGTGGCTTTCATTGCATTGGTAATTATATTCATTTCTGTGGCTGCTGTAACAAATTACCACAAACACTGTGGTTTAGAACACCAGAAATTTATTCTCTTACAGTTCTGGAGGCCAGAAATCCAAAATCAGTATCACTGGGCTGGAATGCAGGTGTGGGCAGGGCTGTGCTTCCTCCTGAGGCTCTAGTGGAGACTCTGTTCCTTACCTCTTCCTGCTTTTGGTGAATGCTGGCATTCCTTGATTTGTGGTCACATCACTCCAGTCTTCTAACCTCTTTCTCCCCTGTCTTCACAGGGCCTTCTCATGTGTGCGTGTGTGTGTGTGTGTGTGTGTGTGTGAAATCTCCGTCTCTCTGCCTCTTATAAGGGCACGTGTAATTGCATTTAGGGCCTACCTGGATAAATCAGGATAATCTCCTCATCTCAAGCCTTAACTTAATCATCTGCAAAGACCCTTTTTCAAAATTTGACATTACAGGTTTCAGCGATTGGGACCTGCTATCTTTGGAGGGGCATTTTCCAGCCTACCACAGTAATGTTTTATTTCTTAAACTGAATGGTAGTTAATAGCGGACTTGGGCTTTTTTTTTTTTTTTTTTTTTTTTTTTTAAAAGGAATGGTTTTTAAAAGGGGGCTTTGGGTTTTTTTTTTTTTTTAAAAGGAATGGTTTTTAAAAGGGGGCTTTGGGTTTTTTTTTTTTTTTAAAAGGAATGGTTTTTAAAAGGGGGCTTTGGGTTTTTTTTTTTTTTTGTCTTTTTCCGTCTCCGGCAACGGATCGCAACCCTCAGTGTTGCCCCCGTACCGGACCGGGGACCGGCAACGGGATTGCAACCCTCGGCGTCGCCCCCGCGCCTCGCTCAGCCAGTGAGCGGGAACCGGTCCGTATGTGGGATCCGAACCCTCGGGCGGGAGCGCCACCGCGCCTCCCAAGCGGCGCACTTATCCAGTGCGCCACTGGGCCGGCCCCGGACTTGGGCTTTTAACCTGGGTCCATCAGAGTGGCTCCTGCAAAAAAAGGTGAGAAGAAGAGCCATTCTGTCATCAATGAAGTGGTGACCTGAGAATATACCATTAATATTCACAGGTGCATCCATGGAGTGGGCTTCAAGAAGTGTGCCCCTCAGGCACTCAAAGAGATCCAGAAATTTTCCATGAGGTAGATGGGGACTCAGGTGTGCACGTTGATACCAGGCTCAACAAAGCAGTCTGGGCCAAAGGAATAAGGAATGTCCTAGACATATCCATGTGCAGTTGTCCAGAAAACGAATGAGGATCAAGATTCACCAAACAAGCTCTATACACTGATTACCTATGTACCTGTAACCACTTTCAAAAATCTATAGATGGTCAATTTGGATGAGAACTAACCACTGATTGTCAAAGTTATAAAACTAGGGGGCAGAAAAAGAAAAGAAAGAAAAAGAAAAAAGCAACCATGAACTCATGGCCCTCTACCTTGAGTTACAGTTCTCTGCACATGTGTCTCATGAACCACTCATAGAAAGAGAGGTCTCCAGGAGGCTGAGTAGAGTGTATGAATTTGTTATTTCAGAGGTGGGGCAATTCTGGATAAGATGGGATTCAAGTCATGACACCTATAACCTGACTTTTGTCATTTTTAGAACTTTTCGTGAGCCTCTTTTAAGATGTTATGTTATAATGTTTAAAGAGTGGTTTCTCCTTTAAAAATTCGCATTAATGGGAGACTTGAAGACCAAAAATAAAAAACAGAAAAACTGAAAAAAAAAACTCAGAAAACTTTCAAAATCAATTGGATTGGATGCTAAC